CCCCAAAACCCCAAAACCCCAAAACCCCAAAACCCCACGAAATTATATAAAAATTGAATTTTAAAATATGAAAGCACACAGTATGGGCAGGCTAGAGCTACTGGCATGGCTTAATGATTTTATTGAGACTGATTATACTAAGCTAGAACAATGTGCTGATGGAGTGGGATATGCACAGATTATTGATGCCATACATCCAGGTGTGGTGCCATTGTATAAGATGGATTTTAACGCTAGGCATAAAGAAGATTTTGTCAGGAATTTAAACTTGCTTGATAGGTGACTCAATCGTCTGAAAATTTCGAAGACTATACCTGTTGATCAGATTAGTAAAGCGAAGTTTCAGTCTAATATGGAGTTTGTGCAATGGCTTTATTCTTATACTACAAAAACAGCGCCAAATGCAGCAATGTTCTATAATGGCTACGAGAAGAGGGTTCAGGCGTATTGAAAACAAAAGGGAATTAAGGACCTAAATGACCATTATATGGAGATCAACCAACATCTTATTCCTAATAAAGCTGTTTATAGGAACGATATTGACATTGAGCAAGAGGGATACCAAGAATATGACGATGTTGATGAAGAACCTGGAGAGTATTACCAACATAGAGAAGAAGGTATGGAAGAGCACTATCCGAGAGGACCTGCTCCGGGCAATCCACTTGAAGAGGAAGGCCACTTTGATCCTACCAGTCCACTTGAAAGTACCTTTAATTCCTCCTCTCAAGATATGGGAGATAAAAGAAAGAAGCAGCTAAATGACTTGGTTTTATCTCTTGAGAATGAGCTTACCGAGCAACTTTATAGCCACAAGATTTTCTTGGAAGACATCAACAGAATTGAAGAAGAGAAGAACTTTTATTACGACAGGCTAAGACTAATAGAAGATTTTGTTTCCCAGAAGAAGGATTCATTAGTAAAGAGACAAATTATTGATATCCTTGCCTGGGCTCCAGAAGATTTCATTGAGAAAAATTAAGTTTAACTATTTCAATAAATTTCATTTCTCAAGGGGTTTTGGGGTTTTGGGGTTTTGGGGTTTTGGGGTTTTGGGGTTTTGGGG